AGAGGACTATTAAAGTTAGGAAGTATAGTAAGGGAGTTATAGAGTTATATAAAGAGGGTAGAGGATATACTAGATACTACCCTAGGAGAAATTAAATTAGCCGCCTATATCCTAGAGGAAGAATCCCTAGCAGAATCGCCTATGCAAATAATAACAAGAGCCTAAGGAAGACACGCCGCCTAGCTCTTAAAAAGGATAGGCCTAGAACTATAGGATACTAATATAGAGGTAATAAATAAATTACGTAATATATTACCTAGACTACTTAAGGAACTTAATAAAACTCTAGAGACTAAGATAATAATACTAGAAGAAGAGGGTATTACTAAAGATAAGCATGCTATAGTTAAGAATAAAGCGCCCTATTAGTGCAAAAACTAACGCTCTGCACTATAATTAATTACTGCTAGGATTAGGAGTAGCGTACTTAACAACACTAAGCAAAGGAAGCTAGTTAAAGTATAGTACTACAAAGTTACTAATTATAGCACTATCTAGGACGCTAAGGGGAGGATAGTGCAGGATTTAAATTAGGTATGCTTTAGCTACTTAAAGTTTATTACTAGCAAGATAGGGCTCTACACTTAGACTTTAAACGTGGAGGCAAGTAATAGATAGCTAAACGTGCTATACTATAAGCCTAGAGAATAGGGAAATTTGCAAGCTAACCTAGTTACTATAGTAGCTTTTACTAAGCTATTTTAACTAAGATTATACCTCTAAGGATTTATAAGCTTATTACTACTAGCTAAAGAAGATAGCACTAATAATTAACTAGGCCTAACTATAATAGGTAATAAGATTTAAGTAGAGTTACTAAGGCTTCTTATAGAAAGGAAGTATAACCCTAGACACCTTTACCTAGATCTATAAAGACCTAGAACTAGTAAGGATAGTAGATAAGTACTTTAAGATATATAAATAGCACTTAAGGGAGATAAAGTAGGTAGCTAATTTAGGGTGGTGTAGGACTATATACTACTCTATTATTTAATAGCTAGTATAAGGGAATATAGGATACTAGCTCTAATATACTATAATCTAGGAAACTATAAACCTAATCTTATACCTATACTACACTAAGTACGCCTAGGCAGGAGACTAAACATTCTTTTATTACGTGGACGTAAACCTTTCTAAGGCAGCGTAGTTAGGACAAGGGCTTAAGATAATCTAAGGCTTAGTTTCTTTTAATAACAAGGACCAAGATAACTACACTAAGCTCCTAATTAGATTTAAAGAAGTATAGAAGAATTAGGTAAATTAGATAGATAGGGGGTTAAGGAGGAACAAGATGGCCTATATCTAGGCATAGGAAGATAGGGTGCACTAGCCTAAAGAACTAAGGGAGAAGTGCCCTACAGTAAGATAGGAGAAGGAAATCTGTTAAAAA